GGAAGTCTGAGGCTGAAGGATCGCCGGAGCCCAGCAGATCGAGGCTGCGGTGGCCGGAAGCGGCCACTGCACTCCAATCTGGGCAACAGAGTGAGACTCCAACTCAAAAAAAAAAAAAAAAGAAGGAGGAAATCTATATTTTATGAAGCCATGAGCTTATTAAAGGCCACCGAGTTTGCTTCTTTTTCTGCCTTCATCGTCCTTGTAAAAGATTACAGATTTTATAAAATCAGGGTTATAAATTATTTTCCAATTATGATTTCCCTCTGCAAAAATAATTAAACTATGTTCAAATGGACTTTTTTGGTTGTATTCCTTCTTTCCCTGTCATAGCTCTTATAAAAACCCTGTATTTTTCAAGAAGCAAAAGAAAACAAAAAAAGGAGCATCAGGATGCATTTTGTGATGAACAGGGAAACGACTTGAAAAATATATATTTTTGATAACTGCCTAATTTATTTTCATTGTATTTCTAAACATTCACAAGTAATCTTTAATCTCTGACAGTTGTGTTTCTGTCTCTACTAGATGAAAAGGGAACTTCACCAAGTCCTTTTTACCCCTTACTGAGGAATACTTTTAGTTTTATATCTCCTGGATGACTTATTATTATTTGCTTTTACAATAAATTCCAACTGCTGGGTTTTTACTTGGGTAATATTTCTAACCATAATTTGATCTTTCTTCTTTTTTTCTTTTCTTTCTTTTTCATTTGACATACTAGACATCTATACTGAGTTAACCCTCTTGCTGATTAAATTTTTTTTTTTTTTTAATTTTTTGGCTGAGGGAGCTGAAGTTACATACTTGCTATGCCTATAATCAGAATAAACTATCAAAATCAAAACTTGTTGCTTAAGGACCAAACACAATTTCTAATATAAAGCACGCAGCTTTGTTACATAGTAAGCAGACTATTCCCTTGTAAAATGCTCTTACTTTTCAGTTTTGGTGGATTTGAAATTTCTCTCCACAGCTATACTGGTAGTAACTGACTCCCCTCAATGTTCTTTTTCTTTTAACCATTATTACTAATCATTTTTAAATGCTTTCGCTATAATATCTTTTTATCATTTTCACTTTTAAGTCAGCAACAAAATAACAGATGGCACACTCATTAACGTTATCTATTGATATGGGTTGACTGTTCGTCCTCTCCAAATTTCATGTTGAAATGTGAACTCCAGTATTGGAGGTGGAGCCTTTTGGGGAGTGTTTGGAGGGAGGGGGTGTCTCTCATGAATGGCTGGGTGCCCTCTTGGAAGTAATAAGTGATTTCCCTTAGGAGAGATGGTTGTTAAAAAGAATCTGGTCCTCCCTTCCCCCTGTCGTGCTCCCTCTCTGGCATGTGACAGTGCCTGTCCCTCATGCTATGATTACAAGTTTCCTGAAGCCCTCACCAGGAGCCAAGTCAATGTCTGCATCATGCTTCTGGAACAGCCTACAGAACCACTAGCCTAAGAAGCCTCTTTTCTTTATAAATTACCAGCCTCAAGTATTTCTTTATAGTGATGCAAAACAGACTAATACATAGGCATGATTTAATACATATTTATGAGTTAAGGAGGCAAGATTGGCAAAAGCATTTTTTAAAGAAATCCTATCTATATAATAAAATATCTCATGCATACAAAGTCAGCTTGCTCCATTCCATTATAAAAATACTGTTTGATAAGTGAGTTAAAACCATTACACAGAGAAAAACATTGGTCAAATCAACTGTGTGGCAAGTGCACTTTGTATTGACAAGATGGATATAAGAATGAAAGTTCTAAAAATTGACCTTCCATACAACCCCGCAGTCCTCTACTGAGATTATACCCAAAAGAACTCAAATCACTCTATAAAAAAGATATCTCCACATGTATGTTTATCGCAGCATTGTTCACAGTAGCAAGAACATGGAACCAACCATCTGTCCATCAAAAGAGGACTGGATTTAAAAAATGTGGTACACATACACAATGGAATATTATGCAGCCATAAAGAAGAACAAAATCATGAACTTCACAGCAGCCTGGATGAACTTAGAGTCTATAATACTGAGTGAACTTTTGTAGAAACAAAGAACCGAGTATCACCTGTTCTCACTCATAAGTGGACCTTGAACAATTATTGTAATACTATGAGAAAAGGATTGGCAGTAGCGGGAAACTACTGGGAGGGGGGTGGGGAAGCGGGATTGGCAGTAGTGGGAATCTGCCTGGGGAAGGGGGGTACCTGCAAAATGAACATTTGTATACCTAATCCTAATTGTAGTCTTTAATCACCCAATGCTCAAACTCTACCATGCTTTCATATCTGATTCTATCTTTCTCTTACCCCCAATGACAGCCGTTTAACTATGTATTCACTTAAGTAATCAACATTTTGTGTTCCCCTAAACCGTGATTTTATTTTCTATAGGTTAGGCTTTGAAGAATAGTAAGTAAATGTAAAATAATTTAATGTTATCTTTTTAGACTGCTACTTAAAATTAAGTTAGAATCAATTGCAAGATACAATTTTTAAAAGTAGTCCTGAAAATAATTTAATAATTTCTAATAAGATAATTGAATGTTGACTTTTCCTGTTTTATCTGAGGCTATTTTAATTTGTCATTACAGTATCCCTGAAACCCTTTAGTTTGTCATAGGAAAAAATGTATATCTGAGCAGCTAGAAAATGGAAAAGTCACTCAGTGAAATTATATTTATAAGCATAGCAACAGAACTATTACAGAGCAATTCCACAGTGATTTTTAGTCATACTGATGAGCTATAATCTGTCTACAAAGTAGTAGTCTATACTTTATTGGTGTAAAGCAAAGTTAAATTTAGACAAGTTCTGCAAGAGGTTATTTCTACTCATTTTCAATCTAGAATTTTAATCAGAGCTGCCTAATCTTTGTACTACAGGAAAGCTATTTAAATTAGTTCTCCTATCTCTAAAGTGAAGCTAAATTCAACTTTCTTACAAAATTTATTTTGGAACCAGGACTTAGGCAAAAATACATTGTAGGTACAATTCTGTAAACGTCATTTATGCTAAAAATTTACCAATCCAGGGAGTTCAAGTTAGATTTTACAATTCTACAACAGAGGGTCTAACATATATTTCTATATCTATATACACCTATATTGACTAATTCTATGATATCTTATTTATTAGGTCATAATTTTTTTATGATAAACTTTATTGTTATAAGTAGTGAAATTCTTTATTTATTTTAAATGACTCTTTAATTTGTTGAGAAAAATGCCAGTGGGCTATGATGTTTCTTTCACATAGTCTTTTAAACAATAGCTAAGCCATGCAATTGCAGACATTGTATTGGAAGAGAGAAATTTTAGTTTGCTGAACAATTTTTTAAAAGATCGATACTCAGAATACTACCTATTAATTAAATGTGTGTGTGTGTGTGTGTGTGTGTGTGTTTCAAAAGCATGGTTGTTCATTGTACAAGTTTTGTCTTGACAGATCACCATTCAGCTACTTCAAGACTATTTCAAGACAAAGTGTAAAGAATTAATCAATAAATGACAGTAATCTATTAACTTGAATTTCAGAATAAAGTTAGATAATACTACAAATTCATAATCAATTATTCTACAGTTCAATGAATCAATTTAAGGATTTGGAGATTGAATATCTGAAGTCAGTAATCATGTATACAAATATGATGAAACAAAATCTAATAGGCATACATTTGTAAAGCTTTTATGATACAAATCAGATGCAAGAAAACACTCCAGGATCAGAAAAGTTTAAGACTGCAATTATTCTTTTTAAGTTGGAATTGGGAATTGGGGAAGAGAGAAAGTTGGAGCAAAGCCAGAGTAAAAATTTTGGTGAGAAATAAGGAATAGTTGAAAGAGCATTCTTTCACAAGTGTCCTCAAGGCTTTGAAAATGTCATTCCTCTTCTAGAAAGCTCATGACTTTTAAAAAGTAAAAGAAAAACTTTATGATAAATCTAAAATTAAGCAGAAGATTGTATTTCCCTTTTCTAACACTCACCTCATTTTTTTTCCCTAGACATTCCAAGGTGATTCTAAATGGCAATTTGCACTGTCATTTTTAAAGTATTTCTCAGATATTTGCTAGGCATTTTATGGAAGGAGGCACTACGGTAAAGACTTTAAGCTGCATGCTCATAGCTAGATAAGAAAGCACAAGTGAAGTTAACCTTAGAAACCAGATCTCCAGACTCCTGGGCCTTAATTCTTAAGCCACACTCCCATTTAATATGTCCACTGTGTCTTTTACCATGACAAAAAACGTAATTGGATCCATGAATGCAGAGCTTTGGAGGGCATGATCAGCATTACACATTATCTTTCATCTTGAAATCTCACAAAGCTTTATTAAACTGTTCAAAAAGGAAGTGTTATTGTTCCCATGTACCTCTCTCTCCCAAAAGATAGCTCAAGTGGATTTATCAGGTGGCTAAACGGGAGTACTAAAGAGGTTAAATTTAATTCAGGGGAGGCTATTTCCCTTATGAACACAGAAGCTTTTGTAGTGTTGATGCTAAAATGGTCTCCTTGTCAGAGGACTCAAGTCCTGTGAAATTCTCCAAATAATTTTTGAAAAGGAGAGGGTCTTGACCACAGAAATGGTGTTTTGTACCTTCGAAAATTAAAAAGTAAATTTTTGTTCTATGTCATCTTATAATGTGGGAAGTTAAAAAAAGTATCACATTGCTCAACAAGTAAGTTATATGAATCAAGAACTGTATTTATGTAAGCCAGGTGAAAGGAAGAATTAGTTTTAAAATTATCTAGGGGTTTAGGATATAAAATAATACTTTGTGAATCTTTAAGGCAATTTGAAATCCAGTCATCTTTTATTTAAAAAGTTTAATATGTCAATACTATCTATTATATTTAAAGCAGAAGGTAGGTTGTTTCTATTGTTTTTATTGGATATGTCCTCAGAGAATTTGGGAGGAAAATGTCTCTGTAATGGCTTCAGTTATTTTTGTTTATTTTGTGTGTTTGTTATATAAAAAAAAACAACTAAGAATTCTGCACTAATCTTTTAGAAATGCACACATACCCATACCTAGACTTTTAAATGAATTATGATAAGGAAGAGAATTATTAAATCAATCCTAAATAGTATTCATTGTGGAGTCTCACTCTTATACTAGTTTACTAAAATCTTATGTCAATAATTCTCCACGTCGATACAGTCTTTTTTTTTTTTCAGGGACTTTCAGGAACATTTTCACCAACTATTTAGAAAAACTAACAAGAGACAAAAAAAAATTCTTATCTGAGACTCAAACTTATCAAAACTCATTTGTCTAGAAATTAGCCTGGGAATATTCAAGTTCTGGAATTTCCCATTCTTTTTTAAATTTTTTTTTCCTGCCCCTTCTTAGCTTTAAATGTGGAGAGGATAAAGGCATTTCCAAATCTCTATGTCTGGAATGTTTAAATAGACCAAATTTAGAGTCATGTAAGGAGACAATAATTAGTGTGCATAACAATTTTCAACCAAAGGTATTTTTATGGAAGACAAAAATTTTTCCTTCTCCTTTCATTTGTACCCAAAACACCTTTTTTACTTTTTCTTTTCTTTTTGTTTTTTTAAGTTGCATACGAGGTACTAAAAACAGGGAGGTCAATCGGCCTAGCTCTCCCTCTGCATGATTTATGATGTGAGGGTAAAAATGGGAGTGGGTATTTAAAAAATAATAAAGAGAAGCCTTCCTTTACCTCATTCTAAATCTGGTGAATGGCATGAAATCTTCAGCCAGCCACAGTTTCAATTATTCTTAATTTCCTTAAACCCAAGTCATTTTATTGAGTTCCATTACCCGGTGCCCCCAGAATATTTGAGCCTTAGCACTGTTCCAGCCATTGCCTCAGTGTCTACAAGCACCATTAATTGGTGTCAGAACCCAATGCCACAGCCCCCCTGCATGGCTCCCATATTCCCAATGGCCAAAGGGCTCCTGTCAGCACCTCTGAATGTTTTAATGTCATTCCACTGTTTACAATTGTCTCTATAAATTGTTCTGAGAAATCATTAGCAAGTTCTGATGAAATTTGTTAGTACCCACAGGTTACTGGAAGAAAGACATCACCTTTCCCTTACTTCCTCTTGAATGCCTCCTCCAATTCTCACTCTAGCCTGGAGCCTTAGCCCTGTCCAGCCAGCTAAATTGTACACAAAGCAGACCTTTATTTCAGAAGCCCAAACCACCGATGGATAGACTTAAAGCCACACTCCTCCCAAACCTGGGATCTGGAAGATCAGTCATGGTGCTTGTTACTGCTGAGGTCTCTGTGGCCCATCAAGCCTGTGACACCCTGGTTGTGATACAGTCCCTCAGATGCAGTATCTTCCTTCCCACTAAATTATATTTCCTTCAGTGCAGATTAGCTAGTGATTTAATTCTGGGTTATACACCTAAAATAGATTGGCCATAAAAATCCTATCCAAATGCCAATCACATGAAAATGAACAAAATATGAAATTCACAAATTAAAAACTGTTTTTAAAATTGACTCATGAAGCATTTGAAAAGATGGAAATATTACGTTGAAAAATGTTTAATTAATAAATATTTGAATAACAAATGAACTACTTTTTGAAATGGGTAACTCATTTATCAGAGCATTATTAATTGCTAAAATAACAGGACTATGAGGATCATTTCCAGAATTAATAATTCCGTGCCTGGGATGTTAATTCTTTTGCTTGTAAAATTTCATTAGAAAGGTATTTAACTGCTTGTATTTCAAACTTTACCCTATACAAAAAATAGAATCTATCAAATAAAATTATTTTCAAAAGAGCTCTACTTTACAATATTATTTAGCAATTTGTAATGGTAGTTAATACATTCCTGATCACTTCTAACCACCCAAGTAGGCAATTACTTTAAGCCAAAAGCCCATACGAAATTCAACTCTGAGTTGAGCTATCTTATACAAAGACATAACAATACATCTGCATTTTGAATTAAATGGATTGTCTTTTGCTTCGTACACAAATGTATCATATACAGATGCATTTTTCAAGTAGATTTTTCCTTCTGATCCAATAGGAGTATCATGGTGTATTTCTTTTATTAGGGGATTTCCACAGTTGTCCCAGGGGACCCCAAAACACCCAGAATTTATTTATTAAAATTGTGTATTTTTTCTTACATGTTTAAAATTCAGTCACCTTCAAAGTACTCTCTGTTTGATGCAATATACCTATAAGATACTTTTTCTGCTGCACAAAAGAGTTTTTAAATTCATCAATTTCCATGCCTTTTAGGGCTTCTGTAGTTTTTTTGTTGGTTGGTTTAACCTCTTCCACATCTGCAAATAGTTTATCTTTGAGGACTTTTTTTCATCTGAGGAAACAGAAAAAAAAAAAGTCACCTGGGGAGAGATCAGAAGAATAGGGAGGGTGGGCCATGGGGTCATCCCGTTTTTAGTCAGAAACTGCTGAACCCTCAGCGTGGTGTGAGCAGGTGTACTTGTAAATTACCCCCCATGAAATGGGCAAACACGTTGAAAGAGTCTCCAAAAAAAATTCACGGAAGCCAAACTCAGCCTCTCACAACAATGCTAGCAGGTACATGGATGCTTATGGGTTACTAGAACACTTACCTAGCAGGGGAAGCCTGTACTACAAGGGGCCCACCCTCCAAAAAGTAATTCTAGTTTTTGGAATCCCCCTCAGATAGTTTAGTGGTCTGTGTAGAGGTTTTACCTCAGTAGGTGTTCCATAATCAATTCATATGAAACTGCTAGCTATGCTACTTTTCTCACTGAGTTAATCAAATGCAAACTCACCCAATTGTACCTTTATAAGCATGGACAAGAGCAGAGCAGCTCTTTTCAGTTGCCAACGTAAAGTCCCAGAAAGAAAGGGCATTCTTTCCTTTTCTGCTCAGGAAGGGACTGATTACACTTTTTTTTTTCTTCTTTTAGTAGATGGTAGAGGATAAAGGAATATGGGAGGAGAGTTCTAGTTACCTGCATCCCAAGACTAGACCCTTCTCTGCTCTTTCTATGGAAGGGAAATTTGAAAGGTATTTTAAATCAATTGATTGATTTTTCTTGTTTTCTTTCTCCACTTTAACTGTGCTCATATTTTTTAAATAAATAAGAATGGCACAAACTCTGATTTGTCCTATGCCCTGTCTCCTAAGCTCCAAGAATGTAGTCTCCATGACAGCAAGACTTTGCTTTGCCATTTCATTATCCCAAGCACAAAGAGCCATGCCTGGCAAATAGCAGATGTTTAGATATTAATATTTGTGGATTGAAAAAAAGTTAGTGATGCTCCATGTTCAGACTTGTCCACTGTTGTCTACTCACTTGTGTTGCTTCTTGTTCCACAGATGATCTCATTAATTCATTTATTCATTAATTCATTCACTCACACAACTATTTGTTGAGCACTAATCTACCCTATACCTCGGGCAGTGTTCTAAGAATTCAGTGGTGCCCAGGGCCATGGGGTTCTTTCTCTTTATCGTTGCTGTAATCTCTTCTCATTGTAGATACAGCTCCCCTCTCCTTCCCTTCTATGCTGCTTCTCAAAACAAGAACTTACCTTTGTTTTTGTTTCTTTGTGTTTTTAAGGGTTTGGGGCCAATCACAATGGAAAAGTAGGAACGAGAAAAAGAACATCAAACATTGCAAAAATGTGAAATAGTTCTATATATTCTGTTTGTTTCATTTGCTTATTTGTTTCTATGTCAGGGTGAATCTGGTTCATTTATTCATCTTGGCTAGAAATGTTAGTCTACATTGGCTTCTAAAATGTTTAATGTTGATATTAGGATTTCTTTTATTCTACCTAAACATTATCTAACTGGGGAAAGTTATCTGCTTATATAGCTTCAAGTATAATTCACATAAAAATGTCTCCCACACTTACGTATCTCCAACTCAAATATCTAATTTTAATTCTTAAGACATTTTTCCTTTTTCTTTTTTTCTGAGTCAGAGTCTCACTCTGTCACCCAGGCTGGAGTACAGTGTCACGCTGATAACCACCATAGCCTCAACCTGCTGGGTTCAGGCGATCCTTCTGCCTCAACCTTCCAAATAGCTGGAACTACAGGCAACCACGCTTGGCTAATTTTTTGATTTATTGTAGAGGTGAGGTCTT